CACCAGTAACGCATCGTCCGATGAGGTTCGAGTCATCGACCCAAAGGTGCATCTGATAAGCGCTTGTTCTAGAACGTTCGAAGCCGCGACGGCCAGTCGTCACAAAGAACTGCGGACATATATATATATAGGGCCAACGGTCACGGCAGGACACTTCGAAGTCGTCCCTCGTAGAATACAGATCGAGCCCTTGTCCGCGTTCGTCGCTAGATATATCGAGGCCGAGTCCTCGCGTTCGTGCGTTTGTGCGTACCGGAGACCGAGTTCTCCGCTACGATATATCGAGGCCGAGTCCTCGCGTTCGTGATTTCGTGCATATCAGAGACCGAGCTCTCTGGTAAGAGATATCGAGGCCGAGTCCTCGCGTTCGTGATTTCGTGCATACCAGAGACCGAGCTCTCTGGTAAGAGATATCGAGACCGAGTCCTCGCGTTCATGTAATAATTTCGAATAAACTATATAAAACAAACGAAACTAGTGTATGGACCTAAACTCCCACACACACAACATTTTGGTGCCTCCTGTGAGGTCTTTCACAGTACGAACGTGAACGACCACTGTAAGAACATACTGATTGTCGAGCGAACAGCGGCTAAGAAGGAAGGACGATCAAAGCGATCACGGCTTCAGGACTACAACATTGGCTCTTGCAACCAATCGCACAACCCTCAGGACGAGTTACGCAACGAGATCAAGGCTAAGGGCAAGTCCATTCCAAATATAAATCAAGTGGCCGATTAAGCAATTACCTACTCCCAAACGACAATATGGCAGGTCGAATTAAGTTATTAATTCAAAAGCGAACGTCGTTAAAATCTCAAATTACGGGTTTGACGAATCTGGTTGAGAGAGGCAGTTACGATAAGGCCGCGTTAAGGTTAAGGATGGCCCGCACAACCGACTTGTATCACGCGTACGAAGAATTTAACGACGAGCTCGTACTATTAGATCCGAACGACACTCATAAAGACGAATTCACTAACGTACAGGAAAGATTTTATTCACTCGCAAGTAAAGTGGAAGAAATAGTAAGTTCCACCGTTTCGACCGCGAGTACCGGTGTCACTATTAGCGCGTCGCAACTCAGCGGTTCTGAGACCACGGCGATCGTAAAACGGCGAGTAAAATTGCCGGAAGCGTCTCTACCGAAATTTGACGGCCAATACGAGAATTGGCTGTCCTTCAAAAATACTTTTCTCGTTATGATCGATTCACAAACAGACTTGAGCGAAGTACAAAAATTGCAATACTTAAAATCGGCGTTAACGGGCGAGGCAGCTAATAAATTAAAGATTCTATCGATCGAAGGCTCAAATTATCAAAAGGCATGGAAACTGTTGAAACGCTCGTACGAAGTAAAGCGGATATTAATTTCACGCCACCTTTCGTTGCTCTTAAACACACCCGTTTTAGAAAGGGAGACAACCGACGGCTTGTCCAAGCTTGCCGATGACACGCAGCAACATGTAGCATCGTTAGCCGCGTTAGGAGTTAACGTGGGGTCCGAGATACTTGTAAACGTACTAGAAAGCAAATTACCTAAGATCGTAGCGGAAAAATGGGAGGAATCTCTGGATCGGGACGAATTTCCGAAGATCGACGATCTATACGAATTTTTATATAGAACCGCAGTTCGTATATCTAAGCGTGTTCGTGCAGGAACGACCAAACAAGCCGAGGACAGATCGACACCTCCCGGGAAAAAGGCGCGGATATCCAATAAGGCATTTGTGGTTAATATTGCGAATAATTGCCCAGCGTGTAAAAATAAGCAACATCCGTTATTTAAGTGCGACAATTTCAAGCAATTATCTGTGCCGAAGCGCATCGAATGCGTGAAAAACGCGATGCTTTGTTATAACTGCTTACGTTCACATCGTGGTAAACCTTGCAATTATTCGCACTGTAGCATTTGCCAAGGGCGACATAATACGCTTTTACATCTTGAGAAAACCCAAGTCGCATCCACGACAACGGACGCGACGGACGTCAAGGGGGAACAAGGCAAATAACGTATAAAGGGGGGTGGCCAGGCAGCGACGTGTCTCGCAGCGATCACGCCCATTTTCACACCACAATTGATGACCACCGCGACGATATTTATTCGGGATCATGAACTCAAGTCAATGAAGTGTCGCGCCTTGTTGGATACATGTGCTACCGCCAATTTCATTTCCGAGGGTCTCGCGAGACGTCTGAGGCTCCCTATAACAACACGCGCATTGCCAGTCGGTGCAATCAATTCAATGAACACGACTTCGAAAGGTGTCATTCGAATTACTATTCAATCGCGACACAGTGAGTTCCGCAAGGATACATCGAGGCCGAGTCCTCGCGTTTGGGCATTCGCACCGGAAACCGAGCTTTCCGCTAGAGACCGAGGCCGAGTCCTCGCGTTCGTACGTTCACGCGCTCGTGCGCATCGGAGACCACGCTCTCCGATAAGAGACATCGAGGCCGAGTCCTCGCGTTCGTCTAATCTTGAATGAACAATTATGTTTGACAATCCCCATAATATCAGACTTAGTTCCGTCGAAAACTTTCCCGTGAGATTCCATCACAATACCGTCCAATATAAAATTAGCTGATCCAGAGTTTCATTTGCCGCGTCCTGTTGATTTGCGGATTGGTGCGGAGGTGACATTGTCGTTATTCTCCATAGGCCAGATCAATTTATCGATACGAGATAACGATTTATATCTACAAACTACTTGTCTCGGCCGGGTCGTTGCGGGCGGAAGCTCGTCGCGGAATCAGCCGAAAACTGCGATATGTAAATTGACTGGTCTAGATCAACAGATCGCGAGATTCTGGGTGATTGAGGAGATATCTGATCCCACCGATACGCCGAAATCTAACGAGGAAATCGAATGCGAAGAGCACTTCACTAAATTTGTTACTCGTAACCGCGACGGTCGATATACAGTGAGACTACCATTTCGCAGGGATAAGATGAGCCTCGGAGATTCGCGAACCGTCGCGCTCAAACGTTTAAATTCGCTCGAACGGAAGCTCGACTCAGATCCATTGTTAAGGGCCGCCTATTCGCAAGTAATACAGGAATATTTAGATCTGAAACAGATAATTCCGGTGAATAACCCTTCCAATGAAGGATTTTATATGCCGCACCATGCGGCAATCAAATCATCAAGCAGCACGACCCGGGTTCGTGTCGTGTTCGATGCATCGGCAAAACGAGCAATGGCACATCGTTAAACGACAGGTTAATGGTGGGGCCGACTATTCAAGATACGTTATTCGTTCACTTAATTCGATTCCGTACGTATAAATGTGTTCTCACAGCAGATATAGAAAAAATGTATAGGCAGATATTGTTGCACGAGGATGATCAGATATACCAACGAATCCTCTGGCGCCAAAACGATCAAATAAAACTTTACAACTTAACACCCTTACATTCGGCGTATCCTCGTCGCCGTATCTGGCTATACGAACAATTAAAAAGCTAGCCGATGATGAGCACGACGCGTATCCTGACGCCGCCCGAGTTCTCAAAACGCACTTATACGTGGATGACTTAGTTACAGGTACGAATACCGTTGGCGAGGCTCGCGAGTTACGGGATGACATAATCACGGTACTTTCTCGAGGCGGTTTTAATATCCGACAATGGGCGTCGAACGACGAACGTGTCATTAACGATTTAACCCCCGATGCGGTGAATACTATTCTCATCTATTAAAAACGTACGTGTCTCACCGCGTTGTTCAAATTCAAGAAATTACAGACTTACAAACTTGGCGACATATTCGATCAGAGGATAACCCGGCCGACGCGCTATCACGGGGTCAGTTACCGCAGGCTTTCCTGAATAACCAATCATGGTTTTCCGGACCATTGTGGCTAACGAAAGAGGAAGGCGAATGGCCTAACGGTATCGTAGAATTAAAGGAATTACCCGAATTACGAAAAAATATATGTATAGCGACGGTCTCTAACGATTGTAGCTTCCTTAAGAAATATTCGTCATATTCACGTTTATTAAAAATCACTGCATTATGCCTACGTTTTCGACCCAAGAACACTTACCGCGGGCAGCTAGGCATAACAGAAATAAATGACGCGGAAACGAGAATTATAAGGATCATTCAAGAATCTTGTTTTTCACGCGAATTGAATGAACTTGCGAATGGGCGCCCGATAAAGAAAGGCAATATTGCCGCGCTAAATCCGTTCCTCGACGAAAATAGTTTGATTCGCGTCGGCGGACGCCTCAGACTATCAAAGTTAGCCTTCTCGCAAAAACACCCAATTTTACTACCAAGTCATTATTTCTTAACGGATTTAATTATAAGAGAAACGCATGAAAAATACTACCACGCCGGCATACAAACGACTTTGTATACGATTAGACGCAAATTTTGGCTACTCGACGGTCGAAACCAGGTGCGTAAAATCATACGATCATGCATACGCTGCTTTCGATTCAACGCCGGCTCGGTCGATTATAAAATGGGCGATTTACCTAAATCCCGAGTGAGTAACGCGACTCCCTTCGATAATACCGGGATCGATTTCTGCGGCCCTTTCCACATTAAGGAGAAAAGGTATCGAAATCAAAGGCGAATCAAAGTATACGTGTGTGTGTTCGTATGTATGGCCGTAAAGGCAGTACATTTAGAAATCGTAAGCGACATGACCACCGATGGTTTTTTAGCAGCCTTGCGTCGCTTTATAGCGAGACGAGGGATACCGACACGCGTCTATTCGGG